AACATATAAATACTTATAAAATAGATGAAATGTGTTTAACATGAATATCATAACACTAAAAATAAATTTGTATTTAATTTTTAAATTCATTTTATACTTAGAATTTTGTAACATATTTTACTTTAATTATGAAACTCCTAATGAATAGGGTTTATAAATTGAAAATTTACCTTATTTTTATGATGAGTATTCTTTATTATTAGTATCTCATAGGTTTCTGGTGGTCTCCTTAGCTGTATGGTCTTTGAAGTGATGGAATAGAGATTGCGAATACACAGAAAGAATTAATATTTGTTTTAATCACTGTAAAATGGTACCTAAAACAGGGCTGGCCAGGATACTTTTTTTTTTCCTCATTTTTTTTCAAATTGTGGCAAAATACACAAAACATAAAATTCATCATCTTAACCATTTTTTAAATTTTTTTTTCCACGTTTTTATTTATTTTTGGGACAGAGAGAGACAGAGCATGAACGGGGGAGGGGCAGAGAGAGAGGGAGACACAGAATCGGAAACAGGCTCCAGGCTCCGAGCCATCAGCCCAGAGCCTGACGCGGGGCTCGAACTCCCGGACCGCGAGATCGTGACCTGGCTGAAGTCGGACGCTTAACCGACTGCGCCACCCAGGCGACCCTTAACCATTTTTAAGTGTACAGTTCAGTGGTATTAAATATATTCATAATGTTGTGTAGTCTTCACCACCATCTGTCTCCATAACTCTTTTATTTTGTGAAATTGAAACTCTATATCCATTAAACAATAACTCTCCATTCATTCCCCACTCTTCCATCCCCTGTCAACAACCATTCTGCTTTCTTTCTTTATGATTTTTGGCTACTGTAAGTACCTCATATAAGTAAAAGCATGTAGTATTTGTCTTTTAGAGACTAGCTTCACTTAGTGCAGTGTCCTTGTGGTTCATCTGTATTGTAGCATATGTTAGAATTTCCTTCCTTTTAAAGGCTGAGTAATTTTCCATTGTATTTATATAGTATGTCTACTTAACCATCAATGGGCACCTGGGTTGCTTCCATATTTTAGCTATTGTGAGTAATGCTGCTATGAACCTATGTGTATAAATATCTCTTTGAGACTCTGCTTTCAATTAAAAAATTTTTTTTTAACATTTTATTTATTTTTGAGAGAGAATGACAGAGCGCAAGTAGGGGAGGGGCAGAGACAGAGAGGAAGACACAGAATCCGAAGTAGGCTCCAGGCTCTGAGCTCCACCGCAAACTGTGAGATCATGACTTGAGCCAAAGTCAGCCACTTAACCAACAGAGCCACTCAGGCGCCCCTGCTTTCAATTTTTTTCTAAGTTTTTATTTTTATTTATTTATTTTGAGAGAGAGAAGGGGAGAGGCAGAAAGAGGGAGAGAGAAAGAGGCACCAGGGTGGCTCAGTCAGTTAAGCCTCTGACTCTAGATTTTGGCTCAGGTCATTATCTCCTGGTTTGTGAGTTTGAGCTCCACATTACACTCCATACTGGCAGTGTGCATCCTGCTTGGTTCTCTCTCTCTCTCTCTCTCTCTCTCTCTCTCTCTCTCTGCCCCTCCCCAGATTGTTCTAAGAAAATAAATAAACTTAAAAAAAAAATGAAGAGGAAGAGCAAGAATCCCAAGCTGGCTCTGTGCTATTAGCGCAGACCGTGACGGGGAGCAGGGCAGGAGGCTCGATCCCACAATCCCATGAGATCAAGACCTGAGCCAAAACCAATATTCCAATGCTTAACCCGCTGAGCCACCCAGCACCCTGTGCTTTCAGTTCTTGTGGGTATAAACCCAGAAGTAGAATTGCTAGATCATATGGTTAAATTTATTCCTGGGTGTGTTACTTTTTTCGATACAATTGTGAATGGAATTGTTTTCTTAATTTTGCCGCCTCATAGTTCATTGTTACTTTATGGAAACACAGCTGATTTTTATGTATTGATTTTATATCCAGCAACTTTACTGAATCCATTTATTTAGTTCTAGCAGATATTTTGTTGATGGTGTCTTTAGTAATTTGAGTCTTCTATGTCTCTCTCCCTTTTTTTAAAGTTTATTTGTTGTGAGAGAGAATGTGTGTGTGTGAGCAGAGCAGGGGCAGAGAGAAAGGGAGAGGGAGACTCTTGAACTTAGAAAGCATGTGATCATAACCTGAGCCGAAATCAAGAGTTGGATGCTTAACCAACTGAGCCACCCAGGCGCCCCTTTCCTCCTGTTACTGATCTCTAACTTCATCCCATTGTGGTCAGAGAAGATACTTTGTATGATATCTAGATTCAAATCTACTGAGACTTAATGTGTGCTTTAACATATGGCCTATTCTGGAAAATGTCCCATGTGCACTTGAGAGGAAGGTATATGCTGTTGTTGCTGGGTGGAGTGTTCTGCATATGTCTGTTAAATCTAGTTACTTTACTGTGTTGTTTAATTTCTGTTTCCTTGTTTATCTTTTGTCTGGTTGTTTTATCCAGTATTGAGAGTGGAGTATTAATATCTGTAATTATTATTGTAGAACTGTGTATTTCTCCCTTTGGTAAATGTCTTCAAAGGATGTATTTCTTTAACTTTATTCAAGGAGATCATGTATGGGTAATGTATTATTGTCAGAAAAATACCATATAAAAAGTTATCTCATTTTAGTAAGTTGTTTTATTATCCCTCATCTTGATCTTGTAAACTTTTAACTTTACATTAAATCCATAAAGGGAAACTGGAAAATAGAAATAGAGCAGTGTTACTGTTCCAAGGTAAATATTTAATTTAATAATATGTGTATAAATAATTATTTATTGATAGTTATTTAATAACTTTTAGGACATAGTCTGATAAGAAATTATTAGTTTTTTTCCAGTCCATTTTGTAAGGCAACATTTTAAAAGTAAAAATGTAATAATTTCGAAGAGGGTTCTTACAGCATTTGCTAGGAAATTAGTGAATAAGAAGAGATATTAAGATGTTTGTCATAATATTGCACATAGTATTTTCTGTTTAAATACAATTTAAAGACGACCATTATAATTTTGTTTTTTAAGAGCTTTGAAGTTCCTTAATAACATGAACATAAGAAATAATAATTACAATATATTATAACTCATAACACACTTGATATAGGCAGAAAACTTTTACCTGTATCTTTGTATACCTATAATTTGTATACTTTTTGTCCCAAAAGAAGACCAAGTGCAACTTTTAATTGCGTTATTGTTTTCCTTATTTTCCTTGCTTATTGTGGAAACTTCAAAGGAAATTAAATGGCAATACTCAATCATTCATATTTTTTGCTGTTGAAGATAATCTTATTTTACTGAACTAGTTGTATTATAAGGCCTACAGAATGTTTTCTCCTAGCTGTGGAGAGAGAGATTCAGGCTGAGTCTCCAAGGGTCAAACCAAAGAGGCCAGGTTTAATTTATCTTTTTTTTTTTTTTTTTTTTTTTTTTTTTTTTTTTTTTATGCCAATACTTAACCATCTATGTTCTTTTTTCTTTTTTTGATTTTTATTTAATTATTTTTTAAAATTTATATCTAAGTTAGCATGTAGCGGCAACAATGATTTCAGGAGTAGATTCCTGAATGCCCCTTACCCATTTAATCCATCCCACAACCCCTCCAGTAACCCTGTTTGTTTTCCATATTTAAGAGTCTCTTGTGTTTTTGTCCCCCTCCCTGTTTTTATATTATTTTTGCTTCCCTTCCCTTATGTTCATCTGTTTTGTATCTTAAAGTCCTCTTATGAGTGAAGTCATATGATATTTGTCTTTCTCTGACTGACTAATTTCACTTAACATAATACCCTCTAGTTCCATCCACATAGTTGCAAATAGCAAGATTTCATTGTTTTTGATTGCTGAGTCATACTCCATTGTATATTTATATACCATATCTTCTTTATCCATTCATCCATCGATGGACATTTGGGCTCTTTCCATACTTTGGCTATTGTTGATAGTCCTAACAATATGTATGCATTTTAAACTTTAATGCAAGCTAATCATAGTGTTGATTATATTATTGATAATATGCTTACTCTGTCAGATGCTGGATTTATGTTATATAATTTAATTTTCTCAACAATCCCATTTTATAGAAACAATTCTCTTAATAGAAAGGAGGAAATTGTGTTTCCGATCTGTTTAAGCAATTTGAGCTAGTAATTAATTTACAGAGCTGGCTTCTGAGAAGTGTCCTGTTCCAAAACCTGTGCTCTTAACCAATTGATTAGTCTATTTTCCATTTCTGTAGAGTAGGAAATGTATAATAAAAAAAGATTTCTGTTGATCAGTATAATTGCCTTTGTTGCCAGTGTTTCTAGATATTTGCTTTCCTGAATTTGAATCCTTTGCTCATGCTCATTGTTAATTTCATTGATGGAAGGATGATCAGAGACACAATTTTGTAAGCAGTATAATTATTTTTCCCAACCGGTTCCACCTTACTTATTCCCATTGTTTTTGAATAGGAGGGGAAAAAAGAGACCATGGATTTTTTGAATTTTCAAAATTACTAACCTATTTTGGTAATTGCAAGGACAAAAAGAATATTTTAGGAAAATGTATTTGTTTGAACAGTGTGATTAAATGGTCAGGATATTGGCCTGGTAATTGGAAAACAAAATTACCTTGAAAAAAATAATGTGTCACTTTATTCCTTAATGATTAAATTAGGATATTATTTACTGTTTTTTTTTTTTTATGGGGAAGCTGTGAAAGGCATTGTAATTATTTCAATCATGTGTTTAAGCTATATAAACAGATAATTTAAAATGACAGTTTAAAAGATGTTTTAATTTTTTTTTAGAAAAAAATCTTAGCATTTCTGAAACATAGCTATTTCTGAAAGATGTTATTGCAGGAAGAACCCTGCTTGATTTAAATCTTTCATAGAAACATTTGTCCTGAAGAAGAAAACACATTTTGTATAAAGAGTAATACATGTCTTCTATTTTTGGAATTTTGATCTCTCATTTGGTGTTATCTGCTTTTCTTAATGTTACCATAATTACTTTTTTAGTGTATTTTGGGATCTCTACTGTGCAGCTCCAGAAAGACGGGAAACATGTGAGCATTCAAGTGAAGCAAAAGCCTTCCATGATTATGTGAGTTAATGTTTAATTGAACTAAGTTATATTGTTAGTTTTCTTTTTAACCACTACTCTTGAAAAATTCATTGGACCATCTATTCTTTTTCTTTGGTTTTAAGAAACTGGGTGTTATTTTCTTCTTAAAAATTAGAGTTATAACTTTAAAGCGAAATACAAATGAGTGTTTGTCTTGTTGAAAAGCTTAAGATACAAGGTTAGTCTTAATTCCAAGTTGTTAAACGTATTTTTTTATCTTTAAGCATGACTGATTTGTGAAATTTCAGATTTATAAAAATGAAGTAGTAATTCTTTATTTTACAAAAGGAGTCATGAGAATACTACAAATGATAAGTTTCTCTTTTGCACATAAGATTTAAAAAATACATAAAGATACTATTTTCTTCTTTTTTATACCTTTCGGTTACATATCAAAACTATCCTTTATACTGAATTAATTTCTATAACTAAAACTTATTGTGAATTAAGGGAAACAGCAAAAGATGCTATGCAAAAATGAAAATGTGATTTTTAAATCTTTTTTTAATTTTTCAATTCTGAGTGGAGGACAGTAGATTGTCCCTGGCTAAGTGATGTATATTGAGAATTTTGTTAGAATAACTGCAAATGTGATTTTAGAGAGTTGATGGTATTAGGAAGTAGAATTGTAGAAAATAGGAGGGGGGAAAAAAACAAAATTTTTTTTTTAGGGAAAAATTGCATTTAAGAATAAGATAGTATTGTGACGGGTCTGGGGAAATACTGTTTGTAGAATTGACCATAAAGGAAGGACATCTTGAGTTTGGGAGGAAGGAAACCCAATGTCCTTAGCTTGGAGGAGGTGGAAATGGGGCTGGAACCTGAGGAGATATCTGATGGTAACTACCTAAAACTTAACCAGAGGGTTATTTGTTATTTGTTTACTTGGTAGAAGGGGGACATCATTCCGTGTGAATAGCCTTAAAAACCAAAACCAGGACTCAAAAGGGAAAAAGACCTTGTTCTTCCAAATGACATACTTCAGTCTCAGACTAAAGCGTTGAAATAGCCAGGAGAATTACAGCCCTAAAAGTGGCACTAGGAACAGTGTGCAGGCTGAAGAGAAGGGAAAGTTTGGGCATCTGGCAGGGACTGTGTAATACTTTAACTGTGTACTAAGCTGATTAAAGTGACTGCTTGTGCTTGCCTCATCTGACATTGATTGTATTCATAAAGCTTGCTCCGTACCAAACAATAGCTCTTGGGTGAGTGAGTGAAACGGATGCTTTTGCATGTAAAGAAAATGTAGAGAAAATCCAGGTAAGGCAGAATCTAGGACACAGTATTTATGGCAGAAAGTAGAGCAGAGATCCAACCATGATGATGATAAGGAATCTGGCTAGAGTGGGATACTTGCATCTCATCTATCTCCTACACCAAAGACATGTCTAGCTTTGACCTGCCATTCATGGGAAACATTTTTGAAATACCCAATAATTTTGACAACTAGATGGCATTCGATAGTGCCAGTATTCTACTCCAAAGGACAATAATATTTGTGAATCTACATTTTAAGGAATTAATTATGTAAATAATTTTTCAAAATTCCATTGTATAAAAAAATGCACCCTACTGTTTACCATAGAGATCTTACAGGGAATACTGAACTAATTTAGCATGTCTTAGAAGCATTAGATAAATCATCATTGTCATAGCCTCCTCCTCTACCTCTTCTTCATCATCATCCTCATCATCATTGTCCTATTAATTTTGCATTCATGAGGCATTTTCAATATTTCAGAGAATATTCACACTTGTTAGCTTTAGAAACCCACTTAAAATTCCAAAGTTTTTGAGCACGAGCATTGGTTAGAAGTACAATTGAAAGTAGAATAGATTTTCAAGGAAGAATAATCCCTTAGCATGTAATTTGGTCCTAAAAAATGTAGTTTAGAAAAAAATTAAGTATTTGGATTTTATAATTCATTATGAATATTAGCACATGCTTTATCAGATGCTTTCTAATTTTATCTTAAATATTAGTTTTAAGAGATTTGATTTATTTTAGGCAGCATTTTTATTATACCTTTAAGCCAGTTTAGTTTCAGTGATAATATGTCTCCAAAATTGTCTTTTAAATGAAGGTTTGTGAAGAGGTTGACTTACATAATTTTATGTTATAATTGGATTTTTAGAAATACATTTTTTTGTAGCATAATTTTATGGTAATTTTCATGAGTAGGATTTCCTGACTTCTTAATAATAGTAGATAGTTTCTGAAAATAATCAACACAATTCATGTTTAATGTGCAGATATAGAAATTTGAAAGACTCAGGGAAGAAAATGGGAAACAGGAACAAACAATAAGATTGTGGCAAAATTCTAGAATTCTGTATTTCTTTATTAGAGTTCATGATGGGACCATTTCTGTAATAGTAATTAATATGTATACCTACTGCCTTTCAAGGTAGCTCTCAAAGGAGCATTCTGAAAATATTTTGTTCAAGAGCTTCATCTTTAGAATAAAAAAGTACTTGCATGCATAAATTCTCATATGTTTAAAAAATAGTCTTGTTACTTTATAGTCTTTGTTTATATGATTGATAATGGATAATGAAAAATAGACTACTTTTTTAAAAGAAATGATAGAGGCGTAATGAGGTGAATAATGAATAATCTTTTTAATTAAAAAATAGCCTAAAATGTTAAAAATTATTACCTTTTGATATTGGGATTATGCAAACTACTTTCTGTATTTTCCAAATACTTACAGTTAATTTTATATTCGGGAAATTTATTTTAAAACAGAGAAACTTTTACCTTTCAGTGACTACCTTACAATGTCTCTTCGAAATTAGAAAATAACTAATTTAGTAAAATATCACATATTTGAGGTGGTTCTGTGTTTTTAAATGCTGTAGGCATTTATGAAAGACTTTTGCTTTTTGTATGTGCACATATACACATACATATGTATGTGTACATATGATCTGTAAACTGAATAGATGTAACTTTTAGGCCATTGTATAACTTTTAATAAACTCTTTTTTTGGTAATTATTATCCCAGAAACATTTTTGGCTTTTATTTAATATTTTTTTTTGGGGGGGGGGTTGTTTTTTGACCTCTTTAGAATATGGATTTTTGTCACTCTATTATTTTATTTGCCAAGTGATCATTGATGCAATGTTCATACCCTTTCCCTCAAAAAATTACCTGTTCATACTTCCTGTGAGAAAAAGTGAAAACAAAATAAAACATTTAAGATGAGTAAAACCTTGATCTTCTTGGATTTATACTTAAAACGTATTAAATATTTAGCATCTATATGCAGTGCTATTTGTAAAATAATGACACATTTGGAAATCAACAGTAAATAGTGTACAGGCATGTACTTTTGGGTGACAAAGAGAAAACACAAGGAAATGATTATTATACAAGTTAGAATATGGGAAATGGGAAGAGGTTATGATTGGGATGGGGCTCATGGAAAAGGCTTTTGAGATATTTGGCAAAATTCTATTTTGCCTGACCATGGTGATGATTAATTTATAATAACCATGTGCTTGCTTTATAATATTTCATAAAAATGCCATACATTTATTTTGTATTTTTTCTATATTTGTAATTTTGAAAAATGTTAAAATAGCAAGATATTAAAATATAGTTAAGGTAATTAACTTTAGAAAGGAATAAACACAGTATTTTCCAATGTATTTACGGGTATTGCTAAGGTTCCTCTTTGAGAACTGATGGCAGGAAAATACAGTGATGATCTCCAAACAAATCTGTTTCTTCTCTGCTATGGTAGATAGTGTGAAGTTATGTCTACCTGTTGATTTTCTAGAGGGGAGTGGAAAATAAGATCAGAAATGCTGGAGGAAAGTTTAATAATTAGGAATTTATCATATGAGAGGGTATAGAGATTTTACTATGGAGCCATTATTTTGCCACATGACTGGGAGATAACTAACTTGGTACTGTAATTTTTATCCTGAGTGAAAACTAGGTTTATCTGAGCTGTAAAATTATTATTAGATGCTACAATATTATCATTAAAAGTAAGCTGTCACCTCACATGATTAAAACTAATACATGCTAACTTGTAATGTTTATTGAACTAGCTTTTCTTTTCTCCCCATTAGTATGTTTCTGTTTTACTCTGAAATCACAGGCAATGCTTTTACGTGGAATTAATTAATATTTACTAGATTTTTTTTGTGCTTCAGATTAACATAGAGTTGTTTTATTTAACAATTCGTTTCTAATTTCATTCATTTCCTAAAAAAGTATCAATATATACTATTAAACTTAATGAGAAATGTATACAGTGATTATAATTTTAGTTCTCTGGTATGAATGAAGATTCCTTAATTGTCCTAAAGCAGTGATAGAGCCAAAATATATCATTGCTTTAGTGTGGTGGTAATGAAATCACATTATTACAATGAGCTCTTGGAGAGCACAGTATTCGATTTGTTTTTCCCTCGGGTCTGTCAAATAATAGATAGTTCGATAAATGTTACAGAATATAGTAGTCTGTAAGTCTGGTAGACTGGAGAGATTTTAAGTTGTTCAAATGTTCAGATAAAGTTGTAGGCTTAAGTTCTGATTGTTGATAACATGATGCTGATTTTTGTATTCTTACCTAAGAGAATGTTTATAACATCTAGAAAGGATTATGTTATAGGTTTGTCATGATAGGACACTTTTAAAAAATGATACACAACATGTAATATTATGTAAATAAAACAATAGGGGAATGTTTTTATTCATACCTTATGAAAATTGTTTTTGCAGATAATCATATATAGGAAAATACTTCTGTAGAAAGTATAACATAGTGAATATAGTCAATAATTTTATAATAACTTTGTATGGTGACAGATAGTAACTACACTTATGGTAACCATTTTGTAATGTATATAAATGTCAAATCACCATTTTGCACACCTGAAACTAATATCTTATATATCAGTTATACTTCAATTAAAAAAAAACATTTTTCTAAAAAGAAAAAAAACTATTGCAGAGTTAAG